TTACACCCATGCCAAAGAATATAAAGTACCTAGTATACAACAGGCAAAGTAGTTCCAAGCTCATTCTGGAGTAAATTGTCAGTTATTGAAAGACATTAAGGAAAGCCTAAATACAGTAGCCCCGCCCCTTATCTGAAGGGAATGTATTCCAGGACCCCCTGAAACTGAGGGTAGTACCACATCTAATTGTTTTCAGTCAGAACACACTTTTGTTCATGTCTTCCACCCACAAATGTAATGGCCTTTCCATCTTAACTAAGCATTTGCCATGCACTGTGACCATAACTTCTGTAGTTTGAGGTGCAACAGGAAAACTAGCACAAATGTTTTTTTTCCATTTTCACAATTTTACGGATTAAAGATTTCTTCTTACCCTCAATCTTAACCTCAGCATACAATTTATTTTTTCTCATTAAGTTGATAATTTTCACCTTTTCACATAAAGGAAGCCCTTTATGGCTTCTCTTTGGCATATATGAATTGCCAGCATCACTACTCCTGTACTTTGAACCAAAGCACTGTGATGTAGTGACAGTCAATCTGGTAACAGAGGGCAGTATGAGATCTAATGCTAAGTGACTAATGGGCAGCAGCATCTACAGTGTGGATCTACTGGACAATTCCTGGGCAGGATGGGGTGGGATGGCGTGAAATTCCATCTTGCCACTCAGCGTGGCATGCAATTATAAATTTATAAATTGTTGATTTCTGGAATTTTTCATTCAGTATTTTCTAACTGCAGTTGACTGCAGGTAGCTATGAAACTATGGGCCACGGAACTACAGATAGGTGGGGGGACTGCAGTGTATCAAGAGATATACCACATTTCGGACAGGAACATTCAAATCATGAAGTCAGTTTTCCCCCATCCCCATCAAAATCTTATCTGTAAAACTTAATGAATCTAAATCTATACGGGGAAGAAAAGGTTCAGGATAATCTGAAGGAAGAAAAATAAAGTGGAGAGGCTTGCCAACTAGATACTCATGGTAGGTATAGTAATCAGGACTGTGGCAATTTCCAGGGAACCGACAAAAGACAGATGGACCAGGATAGAGGTCCCAGAAACAGACCCATATCTATGTGAAAATTTGATGATGGCTTTGTGGGGAAAGGATGTGCCACTCAATAAATGGTGCTGGGAGAGTTTGTTATTCCCATGGAAAAGAAAATAACCAACCTCGTGTAATACAAAACTTTAAAAAATTAATTCTGGGTGAATTTATAATATAAATGTGAAAAACATTTAACATCGATGACAGAACCTCCTGGATTCCAAATTCATTTATCCAGCTTCCTGGTGAATGCCAACTCTTGGATACCTAGTAGGCACTTCGAACCTAGCATGGTCTTCACCTGCCTTCAGTCTACTCTTCCCACATTTTCCCTATCTCAGTAACTCTAGCCTTCCCCTTGCTCAGACCCCAAACATTTTTTAAAAAGTTAAAATGAGATCTTTATAACTGAAAGGTTGCAGTCTACCTTGGAAACCAGCATATTTTCAGAAATAAAAGCAAATTTAAATTTTCATCCATGTCCTGAAGCTTCCAAAGCAGCTGCTACTAAAGCCATGCAGTGTTTCATTGTTTATATTAGGCAGCTCCTGTCCCCTGGCCATGCCAATTGCAAGGCTTAATGATTTATAGACATTTTGAAAAAAAAAAAAAAAAAGGTGGTTCTTTTGTGGCCTCTGTGTTTGGTTTTGTTTTATTCACTGCCTGTTCGGCCACAGAGATATAGAAATGAATAAAACTGATCTCACCTAAAAATCCAGCTAAATTTTAGGGCAGAAAATGAGCCAATTGGGCATGGCAGATGAGTGGGGAAAGGGCTAAAAGAATCCCCTGCGTCCAGTGCACATAGCACAGTGGCGATGAGGGGTAAAACTGTGCTCAGGCTGCAGTTCATGCACAGTGGATGTGAGGAAGCTCTGAGGTTTCTGTGTGGTGGTATTAGTAAATCAAGCAGAAAAGGCAAATGCTGTTTCACTAAGATTCCTATCAAGTATAGTTAAGGAAAATAAGTTTTGGCTATACTTGGAAATTTTCCTAAAGCAGTTGAATAAATGAATTGCTCTAATGAAAAGAGCTCTAATTTCCATTTTGTGTGAAATACATATGTGGGTGTGCGTGTATTGATAGGGCTCCTTCAGTTTGGATTTGGCTTATTACAAAGAACAGTTTCAAATTCAATGTTAAAAAATATACCTTCTCCCTCTACCTTTTCCTCCTCCTCTCTCCCTTTGTTCCCATGATGATTTTTGTCTGTACCATGGTGGATCTAGTGGCTAAGGGGTAATAAGGAGTGGAAATTGTATACACAAAAGGATAAAGCTATAAAAGTTACTTTTTGGTTACTTGGAAATTGTAGTGCATTTTCCTGTTGAAACAAAGTAATTCATGCGTGGCTTCCCAGGCCAACCCACAAAAGCATTTTGAGTCTTTAATGTCTATGTGGTATGGTATTGTGCTAATTGTACTGTAGAATCCAGCCACCATCCTGAGGTTCCGTTGGATAAATGCATTTCGTTAGAGTTGGATTCTGGGAACACATTGTTTTTTGCTTCCCTGAGGGCATGGTGACTGCCCTGTCCCAAGTTCTTGCCCACTTCCTCCTCCCTACTGTCACCACTGTCAGAGCTGACGTGTATAGTGTCTTGTGCATTTTCTCATCTGGTTTAGAGGGAGCACTTTTCTTGGTACCATAGATCATGACTCTGGGAGTCTGGGGCAGAGGAGCCCAGAAGACCAAGAGCTGGAGGGAGATGCCTTAGAGGTAGAAGGAGGTGAAGGGTTCAGTGAGAAGTAGTGGGGCTGCATCCTCCTGCTAAACAGCCCCGTGTGGATACTGTATTCTAGGAAGCTGGGACAGTCTACCACCTCCTTTCCTTGATAGCCAGTGCTTTCATGGGGCCCCTGGGCCAGGTACAGTCCTGGTTCATTCCTCTGTCACTGAGGAGTGTGATCATACATGGCTGCTGTGACTTCCTGTGAGATGGGACAGAGGCTGTAGGCACTGAGACTGATATCCCCAGCACAATGTTTCTCAAAGATGCTCATACATCTGGTGTCACCCAGCGGGGTTTCACTTGCTGCATGCAGGAAAAATTTTTTGTTTTGAATGTGACATCTTTATTTTTATAGTTACCTTCTATTTATAGCAAGAGATAATGGTTTTCCATTTATGGTAATGATGTAAACTTCCTATTAAAATTTTAAGCCCAAAGTAAATTGATTTAAAGAAAAAAATACTCAAGCCCCAGTGAGGTGCTAAAATAAAAAAGAATGAAAAGAAAAAAATACAGGAGGTGCATATGTGTGAAAGACTGCTGTTTGGTGAACTGCTCTAGTAAAAGGGTATACTGTCAAGTGGGAAAAAGCAGGCTACAAATAGTATAGGTTATGGGATTCCATTTAAAAAAATTTTTATTATTTATTATTATTATTTTTTGAGATGGAGTCTTGCTCTGTCATCCAGGCTGGAGTGCAGTGGTGTGATCTTTGCCTACCACAGCCTCCACCTGCCGGGTTCAAGCAAAATTCTCTGCCTCAGCCTCCCAAGTAGCTGACAGATTACAGGTGTGTACCATCACACCCGGCTAATTTTTGTATTTTTAGTAGAGTTGGGGTTTCACCATGTTGGTCAGGCGGGTCTCAAACTCCTGGCCTCAAGTGATCCGGCCACCTTGGTCTCCCAAAATGCTGGGATTACAGGCGTGAGCTACGGTGCTTGGCCAGATTTCAGTTTTAAAAACACACGATGTACATTTCAATATATAGTTACCCTCATAAAAAATAAGTCTGGAGAGACAGAAACCAAAGTATTGACAGTGGTTGGTTATCTATGAAAGGTGGGTATAAAGGTGATTTTCCAAATTCTGTATTTTTTCTCTTCTTGCTTAGATTTTCTCGTTCTTGTCTGCACAGACAATGTATTCCTTCTGTGATAAAAACATACCTGGAAAGCCCATGTCACTTTCTGTCCACCCCGTCATCTCGTCTCCACTTCTTCCTCCAGTTATATGCTTGCTTCTTCCTGTTCTTCTCAAGAGAAATGTGGGTAACTGCTGCCTTATTTGTGTTTTGAATGAATGTTTAATTATTTCTTCCTCCAACTTAAGATGCCAGTAGATTTCATTTCACTGAGAAAGTAAAAAATGCATTTAAATTTATGCACAAATGGTTCTTGGTGTGGTAAACTATATGCTGCCTTTAAGTGTCTTTAAGTCTTGCTGCCTTGATGAGCCACAAGACAGGGTTGCAGTTGGGAGTGATCGTCAAGATAGCCCCTCTGAGACAACCACCAGAATAAGACTGGAAGGCCTGCTTCTCCTCCCGTCGCTTTAACTCCCTGGGTTACCTTAGCTTAAGCAAGACCCCTGAGAGTCCCCGTTTCTGCACGTGGGTAGGTGATATCCCGGGTGCCCAGATTCCGTATGAATGAATCAATAAGCCCAGGTACATGGACTCACAGTTTGGAGGAATTGCTCAGGAATGGTAACCGAGATGGAGCTAAACTCTTAGCTTTACCACTGTGCGTAGGTAACTCATTCATCCTAGTTTGCCCAGGACTTACATTGTTTAAGCCATGAAAGTCCTATATCTTGGGCACTCCCAGTCCTGGGTAAAGAGGGACACTTGGCCATCCTAACCATATATGTTTAGGCCATCACAGTGGTATTGTCAACGTGGAGAGGTTAGGGAAAGTTGTGCAGTGAAGTATCTTCCTAGCCAGTCTACAAGGGAAAGGTAGTAGATACTCAATATCATAAATGTAATACCTTTCTAATGAAACGTAATTTTAAATACAAGTTTAGTTGACAGGACCACTTGCCCTGAATGATGTACCCCAGAGTTGCTGCAATATCATTCCCACCTTTTGCATTATCAGACCTCATGCAGTGGCTGCTCAGCTCCAGTAGCCTGAGGAAACAAAGTGACATGTCCCTACCTTACGTTTTGTAATCTTGTTCATGTTTGCAATTTTAATCATTTCTGCAGAGAAAAGGCAAACCTTGCTGTTACCCTCTGCAATGACAAGGAGGAGATCATGGCTCAGGCCACCTTCCTGGACTACCCCAACTGGAATGTTGCCAAGCAGGATGACTGGGTGTCCGTGTTCCGGGAGCTGGACAGTGATATCCCATGCACAGTAAGAAATTGCATCCAGTGCTTATTAGAACATGCTGAAACTTGAGGGGAAGTCCTGTGTTTGTAATTATGCCCTTCCACGTTTTGGACTGAGCAGTGTATGACATCATGACAGTTAAAAGTGAAGGGAGCTGGTGGGGAGGAATGGCGGCTGAGAGTAGTGCCGGCAGGGATAGGAAAGGGCAGGGAGTAGCCAGGTCTGCAGCCGCTGGCAAGGCCCAGATCATCTCCACTAATGAGGGCAGGGGAGGAATTAGTGCAAGTGTCAGATGTGTACTTCCTGGTCTCATGTTGTGCTCCAGGCGTCAGTGTCCAAGGTTGTTGAGATGTTAGGAGAACACCTGCCATCAACACACTTACACTTGTAATAATGACAGCAGAGCCTCAGACTTCTGTCACACTCTATAATTTTCAAAGTGCCCTCGTGGACCTTGGCTCATTTGATGTCTTCTAGCTGCCGGCACATGACAACCTGTTGGCCAGCAGACACTAGGTTAGTGGTTCCCAGGAGTCTGACCTGGGCACCTGATGCCAAGTCTGAGCTTTCCCTGCATGCACCTCGCCAGAGCCAGGCCAGAGGCAGGCCTTGGTTTTTGTGGAGTGCCAGAGGCTGCAACTCTCAGCACCACCCTGGCCTTGTGGTGGAACTCTGCAGCATGTCCCCAGAGCCCTGAAGTCAGAAGAAAAGGGAATGCTAATTGAGTGTGTGAGTGAATTTCCCCCTTGTGCATGTGTGTGAGGGTGCACACATACACGCACGCCTAAGCAAATTATTCAGCATTAATTTTGCTAGATGGTACCTTCCGCTCATCTTTTGTGCTCCCTCCTGACCCTGCCCCCTGTATACCCAAGGACCATTGTCAAAAAAATTATCCCAAACTTGGAAATAGACCAGACAGATTATTTCAGTCTAGTGCTTGCACCTTTGATTGACTAGCCTGTTTTACTATTCTGTAGGAATGGCAATTAGCCTATAGATTTTTGTCTGTTAGGATGTAAAGAATTCCTGTCTGGAAAGAGCTAACCTCAAAGGTTATGGTTTATTGTCGTATAGGATGTGACCTATTTGATATCTAATCCGGCAATCTTATTCTTACCTTTTCCTAGTAAATCACTTGAAGTATCCAGTTCTTCAAAGAATCGTTTTTCTCTTCTTACTGGTTGCCACATTAATTGATGAGTTGCAGTTGAATAAACCTCGGATAGGTGTTTATTTTGTATTTGCATTAGGGTTATGATTTTACCTTTCTGAAAATTATAAATTAATACTCTTATTCATAAACATGTTTTCCTTTTATTTCTTTTCAAGCTGTCTCCTATGACAGTATAGAGTTGGGCTGTCCAATGTGGTAGCCACCAGCCTTATGTAACTAATGAGCACTTGAAATGTAGCTAGTCTGAATCGAGGTGTTCTATAAGTATGAAATATACCAGATTTCAAATACTTAGTAGAAAAAAAGAGTGTAAAATATCTCACTAATAATTTTTATAATGATTACTTGTTAAAATGATACTAGAATGTATTAGATTCAATATTCAATATTCAATATATTAGATTTTGAATATATTAGATTTGAATATATTAGATTAAATATTAAATATTCAAAATCAATTCACTTGTTTATCTTTGTTCTTTTTGACTGTGTCCCCTAGAAAATTTGAAATGACACTTGTGGCTTGCATCACTTTTCTGTTTGATGTCACCAGTGTAGAGCCTTAAGGCTTAACGTATTACCTATCCCAGGGTATTTGTAGCTGAAGTAATGATTTTTATCTTAAAGCTAAAATAAATCTTGAATTGTAATATTTCTGATGGAAGAGAGAATTTGAGAGACAAATCAAGCAAGTAATAAACCATGTGCTCCTAAGGCTAGTCCTACTCAGCATGTAAGACAGATGTTGAGTGAGATTATTGTGGGATTAAGTGAGTGAATAGCTCTCTCTTCCTTTCTCCACCATCATGGTGTGTGCTTTACTCTGTTTCTTGCCATGTCATCTCGCAAGACTCAGAACTAAGCGATTCCTGGCAAAGAAACAAAAGCAAAATCGTCCCATTCCCCAGTGGATTCGGATGAAAACTGGTAATAAAATCAGGTACAACTCCAAAAGGAGACATTAGAGAAGAACCAAGCTGAGTCTATAAGAAATTACACATGCGATGGCACACATATTTATACTGTCTGAAGGCCACAATCATGTTACCAAATCAAGCTGAAAAATGTCACTGCTATCTGGAGAAGTTTGAGCAGTTTCCTCTCTGGATCTGTTATGAAGGCATTAGGACAACCTACAGTGCTTCCATTACTCATGTTAAAAAAAAAAAAAAAAGCAGCTTTGGTTGCCTGGGTTCAGTAATAAATATATGAGACCTTTCACTTCTTAAAAAAAAAAAAAATGAGTGAATACATAGCAAGTGCTTAAAATCATGTTGTCGTCATAGTTATCTGGACTTTTGGTGTTTGCGTTGTTTGCCTTTTGGGAGTTTTCAAGCTCATGAATCAAAACATGGTTTTCCCCTTGCCCTTTTAGGCAATGTAACAATTCTTTCCGAGTGCTTCTGAGTCACGCACCATCCAACAGAAGTGGGGGTAAGGCACAGAGAAGTGTCTTTGCACTCCCAAAGCTGTCTAGAATACTACTCAAAAAAACAAGAAACCTAGGCAGCACCCTGCTGTGCTGATATAGGTGCTAGTAACATCCTCACCAGTCAACCAGGCAACATCTGCCTATTTCCAGAATTTGAAGATTTGTTCGTAAGCAGGGGTGCCAAGCTGAGTGGACTAATGTGTGGATGTTTGAACTACTGCTTATTATTTAGGCCACTTAAAACATCTGCAGAAGGATGACACAAAGCTCTTTTAAAACTTGGAAGATTTAACTGGAAATCCTGTTAGAATCTTGCTACTGTGAGTTTTCAGTTCCCAGGTTTTCTGGATCCCAAGAGTAATATTTGATTCTGACTCCGGGAATGTTGAACAAAACAAGCCAATGGATTCCAAACGTGGCATCTGCCTTCCATTTTTCAAATTCATAAGAGAATCTCTCCCTCCTGTCACATGAATAGAGCAGCAGCTGCTGACTCAAGAGCACCGGGAAAAGGATGATTGTCTTTCACTTGGCATAGACACCCCTGAGGACAAGACTACTGAGTTAATAATCGATTTCACTCCCCTGCAGGCTCTTCCCTGTCCACAGATCATTCGTGAGGGCAGGAGGAAGGGCGGGCACTCTGGACTCATTTACAGTCCCTGTTTTCTTGAATAATTCTGAGCTAGGAGGACAGAAGGCGGCAAACAGTCAGTGAGACAGCTGAAGTGATGCCTGGGTGTCGCTTCACTTAGATGTCAAATATCCTCCCTAAATGCCAGGCCGCTCTGTGTCTGTGGCTGCCCTGAAACCCTCCTCCCACCCCGCTCTGACCTAGCCTGAATGCTGACTCGGCCTGTAATCTGTGTTCTCTTTTCTTCTGCAGCCTCTGAATACATTGTTCATGCACCTCTTTGTGGCCGTGGATGAATATTCTGTTGGCTGTTGCAAAGAGATTCTTCGGTGAGTGGATGGGGCCCTGCAGTGGTGAACATGAAAGAGACAGTGTAGGTAGTTTGAAATATTTTTTATAAGACATAAAATTCTTTGGGGTGTTTAATTTGCTTGTAATTTGTGACTGTAGTAAAGTATTTACTTTGAACAGTAGTGATATTTCTGAAAGAAGGTAATTCCTGGAATCTGTTATCCGTTCTCCACACTGTTATCATTTGAGGCAAACAGGTAGTGCAGTAATTTAAAGAAATGGATTTGGGGTGAGGGGAGAAGGAGAAGAGTTAAGCATCACAAGCTTGGACATTTCTAAAAACTGCTTTTCTTAATCTTATCTTTAGAAATGTTTATTAACATGACAGACTTCAGAAGCATCCTGAATAATAGGATATGTGGAAAATGACCAGCAGGGCCACTGACTCATGGAAATGTTTCTTGGAGAGCCTCTGACAGCCTACACAGACATTTGGGGGTGGTGGCCTCTGCTTTCAAGTCACTTTGTAATGTCACACCAGACTGTCCAGATGCCAGGTCAAAGGTTAATATTAGCAGAAATCTGGTGTGCCATATGAATATGGCACCCTTTATTCTCTCTGCCTCCATGAGACAGATCGAAAAGGGGCCCTTTAGAACCCAAGGAAAAGTAGAGAAGAAAAAGAAATTGCCTTGAGGCTGTTCTTGCCATTGCCGTGGGGAGCAAAGGAGCCCATGTGGATTGAGGGACACGTCACCTTTTTAGCGACAGCATTTGTCTTCATAAGTGCCAGCTGATGGGATTGCTTTGTTATTAACACTGCCCCACCCTCTCTTTCCTCACCAGAACCGTGTATAAGGCAGTGCCAGAGCTGCACTTCATATTTCTCATCGTGCCATCCTACATGAGCCTAGGTAAGGCCCGCCCAACCACCTCTGGTCCCCAGTAGCAAACACTGAAAATTCACTCCCAGAATGGTGCTTTGGGGAATGAGAAATAAGAATGGTTTCCAGGTCCTCAATGTATTGTACACATATTTATTAGAACAATTAAAGCATAATTTAGAATGGAAACTGCATTTTGTTCTGACATCCCAAATTTATTTCTTGATCAAATTGGAACATGTTTCTTTATCTCTGTGATCTAGGCTCAACTCTCATAACCGTTTTTGACCAAGTAGGGAACATTCCGTGTCTGACATATGAGGAAGACTTCGCAGTGCATATATGCCACAGGCACAGCCACTACCCTCAGCTGCATGTTCGCAAAGCCAGGTACAGTTGGAGCCATGCCTTGTGTGACCTAAGCTTCACTGAGACAGTCACCTTCCAAGACTCTTGAAACTACCAATACTCAGTGACCAGAGCTTAGATCAAAAATTTTTACAATATCCATAAGCATTACTTCATTTGGGTATCTTTATAGTTCCCTTGAGGACATAATTTGCAGGACTATCTGATGATACTCATTTGGTTCTATGTGGCTATAACAGTATGCGTTTACTACTTAGGTGTTTCTGAAAACACACAATCCTAGGTCCCACACCAGTAAGATAACTTTCAAAGAAATCGAGCTTAAAAATGAACCTGCCTCTTCAGTTTTCCAGGTGAAACCCACCTATTTTCTGACATTCAGTAAGTGAGGATGCTGTTGACCCCAAAGAGGAATTTTCCAAGGTGAAGGTCTCTACCATCAGGTGCCCGAAGTCCAGCAGTCTTCAGGAGATGGCTGTGGCAGTGTTTTCCAAGGACGGCTGCCACACCACCTTCCACCCTGCAGCTCCTCTTTGATGTGACCTTGCCACTCCTCTCTTCAAGCCTTGGGGGCTGCATCCTCTCTTCCTGAAGCTGGGCAGATTGTGACTGCGTTGACCAGTAGACTGTGGCTAAAGGGATGCCCTGGGACTTGTGAGGCTGGGAAGCTTCTGCCTGGCTCTCTTGGGATGCTTGCTCTGGAGGAAGCCAGCCATATATATGTAAGAAGTCTGCAGGAGCCACATGTTCACATGGGGAGGGGTGGTTGACAACCCAGCTGGGTTCCCACTGACAGTCAGCTTCCACTGCCTGCTGTGTGAACAAGCTATTGTGGACGCCTGGCTCAGGAGAGCCTCATATATCAACAGCACAGCAGACATCTGATTGCAGCCACATGAAAGACTCCAAGTGAGGATGCATAGCCGAGCCCGGCCAGAGTTCTGCCTCACAAAACCATGAGCAACATAGAATGGCTGTTTAGAAATAAGGGTGCATTATGAAATTGTCTCACAGCGGTGGCTGCTTGGCTTATTGGTGAAGAATAAATTGTATCTTTTTGGACCAGCCATTGCTGTATTTGATGAATGCTGACTTTCTTTAGAAAAGTATTTTAAAAGTTTTAAAAACTTTATAAAAGTGAGAGCCTACGATTTACCAGGTATGTAGCAGTAGTGTGGCATCCTTGTTAAGGGTTTGCAGTGCCGACATCAGACAGATCTGGATTCTGATCTTGGCTCTCTCTTTGTTAACTTACAAAAGGAATGTGACCTCTGCAGGACTCTGTTCCCTCTGTCAGTGGGTGTAAGGTGTTGTCTGCAGCAGGGGATTGTGATGATTGTGAGCTAATGACCGTCAAGCACTTAGCGCACTTCCTGTCACGTAAGGGTCCAAGAAATACCAAGTATTATTATGACAGAGGCTTAGAGTTAAGTGGGGGGAGAGACTCACCTTCAGTTAACTATCATGTTGGTAGCTGAGAAGCGGGATGCACTGAGAGAAATGAAGACAGCTTCATTATAACCACCCCCTGATCCACCACAAAAACCCCTCTAAATGTCCATCCACCAGTAAATGTTGTTTACTCCTACAAGCTGTTTAGCTAAAAAATTTTTACAATATCCATAAGCATTACTTCATTTGGGTATCTTTATAGTTCCCCTTGAGGACATAATTTGCAGGACTATCTGATGATACTCATTTGGTTCTATGTGGCTATAACAGTATGCGTTTACTACTTAGGGGTTTCTGAAAATACATACAATGGATGCTACTCAGCAATTCAATGAAATGAACTGTTTGCATAACAGTAACATGAATCAGTCTCAGGTTTATGTTGAGTGAAGGCAGACTTAGAAACAAAAAGTGTATACAGTACTGCTGGTTACACTTTTGTGATGTACAAAATGAGTGAAAAGCATCCATAGAGATAGGAATTAGATACAGATAGAAACCAAGATCATGGAGATCATGACACAGGCTGGAATTCTAGCAGTGACAGGTCACAGAGATCCAAGTTGTTGACAAAAAGTCAAACTCTATAAAATGTTTGAAGAGATTTATTATGAGCCAAATATGAGTGACCAGTGCTTTGACACAGCCCCAGGAGGTCCTGAGAGCATGTGCCCAAAGTGGTTGGGCTACACCTTGGTTTTATACATTTTGGGGAGACATAAGCTATGAATCAGTACATGTAAGATATGCATTGGTTCAGTCTGGAAAGACAGTACAACTCAAAGCAGGGTGCAATGATTTTCTGATTGGCTGTTGATTGAAAGGGTTTATCTAAAGACCTGGAGTGAATATGAGGGAGTGTCTGGGTTAAGACAGGGGTTGTGGAGACCAGGGTTCACAGATGAGGCCTCCAGGTAGCAGGCTTTAGAGGAAATAGATGGTAAATATTTTTTTAGCAGACTTAAAAAGATGTTTGACTCTTAGTTAATACTTTCTTGGACCAGGAAAAAAGCCTGGAAAGGGAAGGGGATTCACCACAGAATGTGGAGTTTTCCTAGAAGAGACAGCTTTGCAGGACCATTTTAAAATATGTCAAATATATTTTGGGGTAAAATACTTCAGTTTATTTCAGTGCCTGGTGTCATGTTGGTGTCTTATTCCTATAAGGAGTCTGTTGTCTCATTCCTAAGATCTCTGTTTTCATGTTAATTCTGATTAGCTGTGCCTGAATTCGAAAGGGAAAAAGTATATAATGAGGCATGACTGACCACCCATTCTGAACTGGTATTTCAGGTTTACGTTAGAATGCCCTTGGCTGAGAGGAGGAGTCCATTCAATTGATTTGGCAGGGGTTAGAATTTTATTTTTGGTTTACATGGTGGGGAAAGGATCAGGTCAGGTGCGTAGATACAGAGAGACACATTAGAGAGTAGCACTTGGTCAGCTGGATGGAGGAGTTGAGGGATGAGAAGGAGTAAAGAGGGATTCAGGGTTTTCAAGTTTAGGAGGAATGGTGGTTTCATTAACTGAAAGTAGAAATAATAGATTTAAATGGATAGAAATAGAGGGAGAAGCCAGGTTTGAGATACACATTTGTGAGTTGTCAGTTTGTTGGTAAATGGGGAGATCATGAAAATGATGGAGATCGTCTTGCTGAGGGGCAGATTGTACAGTGAAAAAGTGCAGGACCAGGGCAGAACTTTGAAAGATGAAAAAGAGCTATAAATAATAAGAAAGAAAACTAGAAGAGAGGGAGAGGGATATAGAAGAAATTAAGACTCATAAAGTGGCAAAAGACGTGGGGAAATGAAATTATTTGATTAAAAGACAAGCCATTAGAATTGGCAATTTAAAAAGCCACCGATAGGATGAATGAAACTGATACTTCCAGCTAACTGAATCAGAAAAAAGACAATTTGCCAGTTTCAGGAATGAAAGAGGTGGTGTCACTATAGACCCTACAGGCATTAAAAGAGTGACATGGGGACATTACAAATAATTCAGTGTCAATAAATCCAACAATTTAAATAAAAATGGGCCTTGAAAAACACAAATTACCAAAACTCATTTTAGAAAAACAGAAAACTTGGAGGCTTCCATATCTATTAAAGAAAAATCAGGAGGACTTTGGGTGAGAGGGAGGGGGCCTCATGCCCAGACATTGGCCTCTCCCCCATCCACAGCCTGATTTGCTTTTTCTCTTGTTTTCGTGACTCTGAACTCTGCCTTCCTCAGGACCTGGTCTTCAGTTTTCTCTCAAGCTTATCCCTTTGGCTCCTCTGTGCCAACCTTGTCACTCAGAAACCAGTGCCCTACATCTGACCTCTTGTTTTGGGATGTGGTCTTACCCCTCTTGAAGGGCAGAGTTTAACAGTGGAGGTCAAATTGCAGTGAGCAGAATAAATGTGAGGTAAGGAAGTAAAGGCAAAGGAATAGTCACTGCTTTTTTTTTTTTTCCTTTTTGCTGGAGAGAGTCACTTCTCTTTAAAGAAGTTTTGTGCTGAAGGGAAGCAGAGGGAGGCCAGAAACTTGCCTGCTGCTGCTGAACATGATGCAAACAGTGTAACGCGATCCTGTTTTTCCTATCCGTGTGGAGTATTTTATTTGCATTCTGAGAGTGGGGCAGCATGTCTTTTAAGAAAGTCCAAGAAGCAGAGTAACTTCAGATACAGATTATCCACCTAATTTAGTTTGAGAGAAGAAAATTCCTCATAGAAAATGATCTTTCGTTACTTTCTTCTTATTAATAGCTAAATAATCCTCTCTTCATAAAACGCTTTTGATCATGATACAATACTAATGCAAGCCAAAGGCAGTCTGAAGAAAAGGAATTTTGTTTGTGAAATGACATTCTTTTTTTTTTTTTTGAGATAGAATCTCACTCTGTCACCAGGTGCCAGGCTGGAGTGCAGTGGTACATCTCGGCTCACTGCAACCTCCGCCTCCCAGGTTCAAGTAATTCTCCTGCCCCAGCCTCCCGAGTAGCCAGGACCACAGGCGCGTGCCACCACGCCTAGTGAATTTTTATATTTTTAGTAGAGATGGGGTTTCACCATGTTGGCCAGGATGGCCTTGATCTCTTGACCTCGTGATCTGCCCACCTCGGCCTCCCAAAATGCTGGGATTACAGGCGTGAGCCACCGCGCCTGGCCATGAAATGACATTTTTAATTGGTTCTCTCATGCCTTTCAAATTTTTATTCCTGATTTATGAAGTTTCTCTTGTTAGTGTCAGTGGAGGCAAAGAGACCCTCCTATCCTTCAGGAAATTATATTTTTTAAAGTGATATTACCTTCAAAGCATTTACAGGTAGCCAGTTTTTAAATTATAAGAATCTCCATAAATTAATTACATAGGATCTTATAAGTAGTGTAACAGTTTTTACACTTTTATCTTCATTTTAAAATCTCTCATTTTTTTATGCTATTTACTAAATTTTTGGGAGTTGGGTTTATTTAATAAAATGAATTCTAGTCTCAAGTCACAAAACTTAAAAGTAAAAATTACTTATTTCATTTTTCTATGTATGTAGCTACACACACAAATACAGTGGCATAAGTGCACTCTCT